ATGTGCATACTGTTTTGAGGATAACAATGATGTTACTTGTAGCTGATAGCGATCAAGGAGTGAAGTTCATGTGTAACGACAGAAGACAACGGCCAGACAACAGATATTTATGGATTTTTATGTACATTATCATTCACGTTATTTTTAGCAGAGAAACAACAGAGTCTTCTGATTGGTTGTTTTCCTACTGAAGGTTATTCTGTCATCTCTTTATGACAGTTTCTTCAACAGTCCGGTGATATATCTGCGAATCGTATCCTCCCACGCTGAGACTGCTGTGATTGGTTGAGTTCCTCAAGGTTAGGCTCTGTTTTTTCTCATGACCCCGATTTGGGACGTAAACATTGACGTAAATTGTTGTCTATCAATTTTGGCTTGCGGACAGCTCTCACCACACTCACTCACACAACTTTTTTGCTTCATTTATATACATGAGTAAAATTGATGATTGGACATTTGAATAAAATCAATATAAGATAATGTACATTCAGAAATAACAATAATATGAGTGTTATTGATCAAGTACAATCAGATGGAAAATAAGACGAGTGTTTTATTTATGTTACGTCACCACAGTACTACTGTGACTGATTTACCTGCCTAGTCGGATAATATTCACATCAATCAGTAATGGCTTCTGAACAACTAGATGGAAATCATCTAGCATTCAGTTGACTTCTCCATGCGATAACATTCGGTATACTACACAAAAGTATCCACAGAGGTCATCCGGTATATGACCACTTAACAATTCGAACATAATATGATATAATCAGTGTAATGGATAAATATATAGTGAGAGTTTTGAAAATATTTGAATATTGGTTATTGATTAGTGTTATTCCCTTTTGGTTTGAAGTTTGAACCTAGGGCTCTTGTCACACATCTGTCTATCACTATATGTTCTGAGATCCTATCTAACTGGTTCCATGATTGCATTTAGGCTTTCATTTCCATCTCACATTACCTCCTCCATGTCAGCTTCAGACACCAGACCAACTTGTCCTATGGTATACGAGTTCAACTCGAGGCCTAACTTGCTCGATGTACATTTATTTAATTTAATTTAATAAAGGAATCATAAGACCAATCAGATACAAGAAAAATTGGTCCTCAAAAAACGTATTACGTGATATAAAGTGTGATTTAGAAGGTGTAATAAACTGAAAATTAGAATAAGAGGGCAGAAGTTGGGATGACTTAATAATTGCGAGAAAATGACTTATCAATATAGTTGTGTAGAGCGAACGAGAACTAGTGGAAAGACAATAAAGTGTTTTTAATTAAAATCTGTCTGAAAACGCAGTGTTATTTATAAACAGCAGTAGAGTGATGTTAAAATAAGAATGATGAGAATAATAATATTAATACACTTACATTATGAAAAGAAGTAAAATCCTAATGAGAACGTTACTCTGGCCACGATAGGGCGAGTGAATGTATGTGCGCTTTTGAATGCAGAGGTTCGATTTCAGATACCCAATAGCCAATGATCCAGATGGCGTATGCGCAGTCCGTTTGTACGATATTGAGGGACTCATGCGAGGGTGTTCGATGTCCAGAGTTGATAGGGCGTTCAAGGCTGGCTAACCAAGCTGGACAGTGTTCCAGAATACGTTTGAGGAATTGACGGTGTGTACGGCCGATTTCCTTTGCTTCACACGAACAAGTTAACTGATAAATACACGTCGAGGTGGCCAAAAGCGGTATCTTTATCTTAATGTTGCGGTGCACTGGATAAATTGTCTACTGGAGAACGTGATGCGGTAGGGGGCTGCTTGAACTGTCTTCTTCAGACATTTAGGCTGTTTCTATGAATTTTCTCTTCAATGCCACTTTTGAATTCTAAGTTCATGAAGACAGTTTTCTCATGAACAGCTGTGATTTTTGGCGACAGAGGCTTTTCTTTCATATTTTTGTCGATGAATCTTAGTGGATACTTGTTCTCTAGTAGGATTGCATGTAATGAATTTAACTCCTTCACTATCACGTCATCCGAACAGATTTTTCTAATGCTTGAACATAATGCACGTACTAGGTTTTACTTTCGGACCAGTGGGACGAAGCTCTGGAAGTTGATAAACTGTCCTGTTCCTTATGACTTGTGATATATTGATCTATAGATCGTGCAGTCTTGTTTTCTAGTGAATAGTACGTACATCGATGATTCACATTCTAAGATGAATTTTGTTGATTGGTGTGCTGCGTTTAAGGTTTTGAGGAGATAATCTAAATCAACTTTCTCATCACAGATTATAAATGTATCATCTACCTATCTCTTATATAGGTGCAGTTAACTGATCAAGGATGTTGTTTTCGACACTCTGTACTCCTCTAGCTGATTGAATAACAGATTCAATAAGATAATTTATCAGTAATTACTTCAATCGGTTTAACTTATTCATCTCTGTTACTTAACTGAATTTAAGATTTTCCCGTCGATTGATTTGACCGAAGTACTCGGTCTCAGGTTGACATGTCTGTTGGCTTCTTGTGCAGATGTTTCGACGATGTCTGGGCATTGAATTGGAATTAAATTTGTGGATGGTGACTAGCAGTGGAGCAATCCAGGATAACGCGCATTTCGTCCTATTTGGGACTCGTCATCTGGATGTACCTGCATTCCGCAGGTGCACATAGTTTCAAACGCCAAAGCGTTTTCCGGATGACGAGTCACAAAGAAAACGAAATACGCATCCTGGATTCCACTGCTAGTCACCATCCACCAATTAAATTCTGTTGCTGTTTTAATCATAATTGGACTTGATTAAACGTAAAGATCACGGATAAAACACACCGTTAAAAATGAATATTATTCGATTCAAAACTGCATTACACAAGAATGTGGATTCGTTGGTCGCCAAAATATATTATGGTTGCACTAAATTGAGCGATAGCGTTTCCAGTCTTTAAAACGCAAAGAATCTTTTAACTTTTTCTAACTCATACGTATCCCAATGAAGCACACTTACTTATTGCAAGTGAGGGCTAGTTATAATATTCGGAGGAAGCCCAAATCTGGATGCATTACTGCAAAATTCGACCCATGACCGATGAGCTATAGCTCTACTCTTTTTTAACAAAACCTTCATTTTATGCGTAAAATCCAACTGAATTTTCTTCTTAAATAAATCATTTTACTTGCTTTAGGAATTATACTACGAAAATAACACAGGACAGCTGTTTCGTCCTTGTTTCGGACTCTTCATCACTGATACACCATTAGGGAAAGGACTGGGAAATTTCAGGTTACGATATGAACTCGTCGACCACTCAGCCACCGGGATAGAATATAATCGCCTATAAATTCTAAACTCTATCATTTCGCAATTTTTTCTTCTTCAAGACAAAGTCGTCCGAAGTTCTCGTAGGATTTTGTGACCATCAGTGGAATTCCACTAGGTTTGGGTGTAAGGCATAATACTAACCGATGATGGCAGATAGTTGGGGGCGCTAGAAAATCCCATCTGGACTGCATTCTTGACAAGCTCATCTTGTTACTTGGGTGGTCTTGAGCTCGATCCCTAATGAATGTGTGGAGTCATGGAGGCTCGCGTTGCCTGAAGAGCCTCAGACAAGGACGAAATGCCAATCCAGTCACTACTACTCCTTTCTTGGTTTTCTCTGGTTCTTTATAACTGAAGTCAATTCATGATTACAAATGAAATCAATCAATCAATTGATCAGTCAGTCAAATCTCAGATTGAAACCAATAACTTCGGAAAGAGGAAAACATTCATTGGAGTAATAATTATAAGTTATTCATTCATTTCCAGTTATACAATCCCCACAACTTTTCGAAAGAAGTATGTATATATATATATATACTTCGCTACTACGGGGTGCCACCGACAATTATACATCTCATCCAACAGCTGTACGACAATGCTGCATGCCAAGTAATCCACAATGGGGAACTCACTGAATCCTTCGAAGTGAGGACAGGAGTAAGACAAGCTGGCTGCCTACTATCGCCAATGATATTCCTGATCGCAGTAGACTGGATAATGCGACAGACATCGGGCAATGAGGAAACAGGCATAAAATGGACTCACACAAAAAACTTAGAGGATCTGGACTTCACCGATGATGATATATGTCTGATTTCCCACAAACACTAGAAGATATGCAAGCGAAAAGCAACAAGTTGGCAGAAGAAGCATCCAGAGAAGATAGGACTTCAGGTGAACATAGAGAGAACAGATGTGGTGATGAAGATTCCTGGACAACAGCAACAGCAACAACAACAACAGACAACAATCAGCCAGCATAAATGGGAGGAACCTGAAAACAAAAACTCCCTTCACCCACCTACCTGGGAAGCATCGTTTCAACTACAGGCTAATGGGACTGACGAGGATATCAAAGGAAGAATCGGAAAAGCAAGACAAGCTTTCACTACTCACGTCAAATCTGTGTGGAGGTCAACAGCACTCAGCATGAAAATGAAAATAAGATCCGGATTTTCAACTCCAATGTGAAGTCAGTCAGTGCTACTATACGGATCAGAGACTTGCACTGAGCGTCATAAAGAGCATCTCAAACAAACTACAGACCTTCATTAGCAGTTGTCTTCGCTCAATACTACTCAAGATCAGATGGCCAGCCAGAAGAGATCAGCAACAGAGATCTCTAGGAGCGAACCAACACAGCAGGAACCGATTGTGAAACAAATAGGCAGGAAGAAATGGAGATGGATTGGCCACACTCTGAGGAAACCAGCAAGTGAGTGACATCACTAGACAAGCCATTGCTTGAGTGGAAACCGAAAGGGAAGCAGCGAGTTGGTCATCAGTGCAAGGGTGACTTGGAGGTCATGTGAAGAGGAGATGAAAGCGTGTGGGCAGACTTGGAGCCAGGTGAAGACTCTAGCAGAGAACCGAACGCAATGGCGACGCACGGCTGAAGCCCTATGTTCCTCTAGGAATCAAAGGAAACAATAATAATGTTATATATATATATATATATATATATATATATATATATATATATATAAATGTATACGTATAAATATTGAGAAGAGACAACATAGAAATACATTTCATAAGGATAAAAGAAAATGAAAACAGGAGAAAGAAGATCCCTCCGACATGGACATAAACTGATAATAATAAATAATAATAATAACCAAAAAATTATCAGAGATGATCAGTTAGACAGTTTTGAGTTCGTTGTAAGTGTACTGGCCAATTGAAGTTCTTTATTAACCTTCTTTCTATTTCGTTCTTCATACAGTAACCTACAAAAAAAACAGAGAAAACTTCGATAGATAAATGCGGAAATTATTTATGTTTGAGTAAAATGTTTTGTGCTGATTTTTTAAAAATATGCGTCCGATGGAAGAAGGGAGTACAAGATGCATACATGAAAGGATGAAATTTGAATCTGCGAAGCAATGGAGTGATATACATATAGACCTAATTTTCTACATGTTATTTTCATATATGTGTTTTTACTTCTCTCACCGCACTTCTGACCTTTGAAATCCTATTGGTTGTTGACTGTTTTAATTTGCCAATGACACTACTGCTTCTCAAGGTCATTTAAGCATATATGTCCGCAAGCACTGTTAACGTTTTCTCACTGTGTTGTTTGAGACGGCAAAATCTCTCTTACCAAGGTGCAGTCATTTCTTATGTCTTTGCGGCCTGGCGGTGTTATTGTTGACTTGCGATTAGGACAGATTGACGCGAGCACATTAAAGGTAGTATGCACTTATAGTCTACTAGGTCACGGTTCTGGTGGTCATAACATGGAAACTCATTGATAAAAATGCCAAGAAACCACCTACCCTGGACATTGAGGGAAGTCTTTTTCGCAGCTGAACTTCTACTCACTGTCTCGATCAACCATAACAATGATTTGAATGAACATGAAGATTAAGCTACCACTACTGGGTCGCCTGATCGATGTGTATCTATCAGTTCATCCGCTCATATGGAGCTAAGTATATCGGTATTTGCTATCCAAACGTATAATGGAATACTTACTTTCATGGTTTTATAAAGGAGAAAAATGATCTCCCCTACAGCTTTATATTAATCTGGAATACCCTGTCTGTCTGTCTGTTTTCGACATAGAACTTTGTACATTTGTGCGGCAGTCCAAGTCGCCACACTCCCTCCATGTAGCACACAAAGCAAGAAAAGAAATGCATAATATAGACAGTAAACAGAGGTGTGAGACAAAGGAATAGTAATGACGAAGAACAAAGCAGTTTCATTGGAAATCATGAGTCACAAGGAGTGGATGCATCTGCGCCAGCCATTGATAACGATTTTGAGCCATGTCACCAATTGTTTCCAACCATTGGTTTTTACCGTCCCGAGGACCGCAACCAGGAAGTCTACACCTTCCTACGTGGCTAGCTTAGACTAACTGCTGTAGATTTCATTGACTGGTGCCATGTTTTCTTTTGACCACCACTGGCTCTTTTCCAACCTGACCCTATATCAGCTAACATTACCCGTCGAGGAAGGCGATGACTAGGCATACGTAACACATGGGGCCAGAAAAAGGGGACCGCAGGGAACAGGACAAAGTGGAGATAAGCCGTTAATGCCCCATGTTACACTCGGAACCCAAAGGAACGATAACAATGATTTTAGTGTAACTTACCTATTCTGCATAATACGAGATATAACCATAGAAGTTGTAACATTACATCCACTGTCTATTCTACGTAGAATACCTCTTTCTTTACAAATCTATAATAAGCAAAAAAATAATAACAGAAAAATAAAGGAGATTAAATAAAGATCAACCTTTTCGACAAACTCTTCAACTGCTCCACCAACTAGGGTAAATACCTAATATTTAAAGAGTAATTGTTATTGATAATCAAAAAAAAAGTTAAGTTAAGATTAGGTGGTATACGGTAAATGACTTTGAAAGCCGCCACATTAATATTAAGAGTTGGTTTGTAAGGATTAATTTTTGTTTTTACGAGTTTGAATACGGATTGATATCAGTTAGAGAACCATTGAGAACCAGCTGGGAGGAGTACTGGACAGCTGTTTCATCCTAGCTTGGGAATCATCGGCAGTACGCACCCACTAACAGGGTTCGAAAGCAGAACCTTCCAGTTGCAAGGCAAGGTCGTATACCATTCAGCCACTGGGACTTGAAACAGGACGGAGTTTCCTGAAGTTCTACGAAGAAGTGGTGACCAGTGAGGTGCAACCAGTCATGCGTGAGGATGGATTTCCCACTGATGACTTTGGTTGGTGCCAGTCGCGCCAAATCACGAAGTGGTAGAAGTTAGAATTCATGGGCTGGCCATTGAATCGGGTCCCAGTGGATGAATTCTATACGAGCATGACTTGTAACCGAAAGGTCCTGGGTTCGAACCCTGTTAGTGGGTGCGTACTGCCGATAATTCCCAAACTAGGATGAAGCAGCTGTCCAGTACTCCTCCCAGCTGGTTTTCAATGGTTCTCTAACTGATATCAATCCGTGGTCAAACTCATTAACATCAATCTTGTGTTTTGTATCTACAAGGTAAGATAGAATAGAGCTAAGAATAGATTTTACTTCTCCTTTACTTAATCACTATGCAGGATGGTGTTCGGAAATCCGACGATAAACATGCCTAGTTGTACGGTCGTCTGTGCAACCAAACTGGGTCACTCCACACGACCAGTCGAATTGGTCGGTAGATACATATAGAAGGGGGGAAATCAGGTAGTTTATCTTTAGGCTGGGTGGTTTTGAAGACACAGTAGAATTCAGCAGCACTGAATACTCCTTTTTACCACCGTATTCCTTAGGTATTTTCTTAACATCTCACTGATTACAAAGGTGTTTAAATACATAAATAGCCTGTAAAAGATTTAGGATGAATGAAAAATCGTCAGACTTTCACAATCACGATGATGACCAAGGCAATGGAGAGCGTCTGAACAAACTTTTGAATGCATCACTTAAACTTCTTCAGGTGGATTCTGGCAGCTTCAGTTATAGAGTAGAAGACAAACTCGTTAAACGAAATTAAGATTATTGGGGAGACGATGGGCAATCTAAAAATGCCTTGTTCAATCACTGACTTTACCTTCAGTATCTACAAGTTGTGCTGAGACACAGCTTAGCATACACCTTGTTTATCCTTTGCGAGGAAAAAATGAGAGATTGTGGGTAATCGTAGACACAGCTGAAGAGGACAGCACCAAACAGAAGTAAGTGGAGATGTGTTGTTGAAGTCCCATGTTACACTCGGGACTCAAGGGAATAATAGTGACATTTTGGTTAAGCATGTAGTGTAAGGAAGGAGAGGCTGATGAGACTCGACAAACGCATTGTAGGTACATAAATTTAGCATACCTTATCTACAATGCTCTATTTGCACAACATTTGCAAATTGGTCGAATATCACCACAGTCGACAGCTTGTTGGGTTCTGCACAGTGTTGTAACCTTCTCCTCCCAGTTCTCTTCTTCGATTGCTTCTTTCTCCAGTGCCCCAAAACATATTGTTACTTTTCTGAATTCGTCTATTGATATACTACTCATATCTGGTTTAAAGTAGCCACCGACGTACTCCTTGGGGTGCTTATTCTTTTAAGTAAGAGAGAGTGCGGGGGAGTTGGAGGAAGTAGTTATTGATGATGAAGGCCTTCAGTAGCCCGATGGAAATAATTCCAGTGAGGCTGGATGGTACTTGTCGAATAATATCCTTTTGAGATAATGCACTTGTGTTAGAAATGCAAACATCACATGTGTTATGAAATGGTAGTCACATCAAGGAGTAAACAGTTACCTGAGTCAAGTGCTCAGTATTAGTGTTAACTGGATCCAGTCAGACAAGTATGCAATAGAGCCAGTACCAGTACCATCAAAATTATATTCGAATAAAATAGAAATAGAATCGAACAGTAGTAGGGTGGGTGATAAGGATCGTTTCAAATACAGGCAGACGGAACTGATGAGGCTATCAAAGCAAGAATCGGAAAAGCGAGGCAAGCTTTCATTTCTCTCAAGTCTGTGTGGAGGTCAACAGCACTCGGCATCAATAATAAGATCCAGATTTTCAACTCCAATGTGAAGTCAGTCAGTGTTACTATACGGATCAGAGACTTGCACTGAGCGTCATAAAGAGCATCTCAAACAAACTACAGACCTTCATTAGCAGTTGTCTTCGCTCAATACTACTCAAGATCAGATGGCCAGCCAGAAGAGATCAGCAACACGGATCTCTGGCAATGAGCGAACCAACGTGGAACCGATTGTGCAACAAATAAGCATGAATAAATGGAGGTGGATTGGCCATACTCTGAGGAAACCATCAAGTGACATCACTAAACAAGCCATTGCTCGAGTGGAACCCGAAAGGGAAGCGGCGAATTGGTCGTCAGTGCGAGTGTGGGGTGACATGGAGGAGGTCATGTGAAGAGGAGATGAAATCATGTAGGCAGACTTGGAGCCAGGTGGAAAACGTTGTCAAAGAACCGAACGCAATGGAGACGTGCGACTGAAGCCCTATGTTCCTCTAGGAACTAAAGGAAACAATAATAATAGTAGTAGGGTGGGTAGATGGTTAGCCACAATTTACTTATTGAATGATATAGGCATAATTTATGTGGAGGTCATTCTGAAGATTCAACTAATGAATAACACTGTGTATTTGATGAAAGCATTTTGAAACGATATGAAAATTGGATATTGTATATACACTTATTTTCAGATCACTTGTCGCTAAAAATTATTCGATTAAATAAGCGAGTAACACTAATGTGACTACTAGGCGAACATTGCTGATATTTCATTGCTTTCTGTCTCCTTTCCCGCGAAATCACTCCCATGTATACATACTTCGGCTGACAGTGATACAACAAAGAACAATAAATTCCACTTGGTGGAATTATGCTTTTGTACACGCCAAGTAAAATACTAAGTCGCGTCATCCTGGAGAGAATAAAAGATGCACTGGATGCGGAAATTCGCCACCCCGCTCGGAGAAAGTCGCATTCAGGAAAGGCATATCAGGTGCTGATCAAATTGCAATTCTACGCATCGTCATCACACAGCAAAGCATAGGATGCCAGTCGAACCTCTCTCTCTACCTCAACAAATTTCATCGACTTCGAAAAGGGCTTCAACAGACAGTGTTGACCGAGACGTAATTTGGGGAATTGCTTCGACACTACAGAGTGCAGTGCCCAAATATTTATCAACCACATTGAACAGCAGCCTATATGACAATGCTTGCCGCCACGCGTAAGTCAGGTGATCCACAGAGGAAAACTCAACGAAGCCTGACTTTGACTTCAACGATGATATTCTTAATTGCGGTGGATTGAACCCAGGTCACCGAGTTCTGTAGACACAGAATTTACCATGGACCTATTCAGGCTTGTGTTTGACCTCTTCTAGGCTGTAACACTAATTTAGAATGCACCATGATGACAGGCCACATTAAGTGGCGCATGGTGACGACACATTGTAAAACTTGACTGACAGAATTCAGTCTGAACCAAAAATAAGCGGGGGCTAGATACTCATGACACTAGTTATGACTAGATGTTTATCTTTTAAAATTTTATTATAGCTTGATTCCACACAGTATTTTGGTACAAGTATGAAATTTTCAGCATGTGATATCGGTAGCCCAAATTTAGCAGGCCGACCATAGATAACAGGTGTGCGTCGGCGGGGGATCTAACCTCGGACGATGTGCATGTTTGACGAGAGTCAAATAAGAGAGAAAATTAGAAGCAATATTGTAGTACTAATAAATAATGCTGAGAATTTCACACAGTATCAAATGTATTGTTTGGAATAAAGGCATTATTAATATTATTATTATTAATGATATTAATTAAAAGAAAACAAACGCTAGAAAAAGTGAAATTAACAATTGGAATTATTATTATCATGATTATTAATACTTTTTCTGTCTACATACCATCATTGGATCTAAGCCTTCAAGGGTTGGCGTAAGATTTTTATCCCAACCGATCGCCACATAATTAACCTGGTTATAAGGAAGAAAGAAAGGAAAGAGCAGTAGAGAGAAGCTTTAAACAATTTGCATACAAAACGAAGAAAGTTAATTATTTTTTAATTAAAAATAGATGGTTGCAGGCAAGAAAAACAAACGCGCTAGGGAACACTATTCAGCATAGTTAGTTAAAAGGGAAAACACAAAGGGGTATGCAGTTCGGTAACAAAAAACATCTGCTGGGGGTAAATTCACGACATTCAGCTCCATTTGAATCAAAAGTACTTCAAAGTCAGTGGCACTGAGATCCGATCAAACCTCTCTCGCCAAGGGGAGTGAAATCAAGGCATCTGGCTGGGAATGGCTGAGGCACTGGCGATCCAAAAACCCAAGCCCATACTATGTGTTCAAAAGAGATACGTCCAACCGTTGTCCTTACCTATCGTGGCCATCATGAAAATTCAGTGCAACCAATAATGATTATTCTATTACCACCATTCTTGTCCAACTTTCCTGTTTATTTCTGTTATTTTAACGTTTTCAGTTCCTATCTACGTTACTAGGCCCTCGAGTGGAACCCGAAAGGGAAGCAGCGAGTGGGACGTCCAAGGGTGACATGGAGGAGATCGTGTGAACAGGAACTGAAACAGTATGGATTAACATGGATGCAAGTGAAAAGTACAGCAGAAGAGAGAAGCAAGTGGAGGCGTGCAGTTGAAGCCCTATGTTCCACTAGGAACCCAAGAGAACAATAATAATAAATAATATCTACATTACTAGATTTGTTTTTTAACCGGACTTCTAGCCTGTTTTGTTATTACTACGTCATCAATGCGTAATTTGTAGAAACGGTCAAGTTTCTGAGTAATTATGACTATTCTTATTATTATGTATTTTCTACCTGATCTTCTTGATTATTACAATTTGTAATTTTATCAATTTAACCTTTGACTGGAAATAATTCTGGAACTTTCTCATACATTTACTGCTATAAAGACACTAATGTACAGCCTCCTAGTTGGTGACTTCGTCGAAAAGAAAATTTTCTTCACTGCCGTCAATCGTCTTTTTAATTATTCCTGCTATCTAATGTGTGTGTTCCATATTTTCTTATTTCCTTTCCGATTCAAACGAAGAATAAGTTTGTTTTTAATATTTTATTGTGCTTTGAAGTTTCCTTAGCAGTTTGATTGATTTTGTGGTGTAGGGTCGCTAGCCCCATACTCATACTTAGCCATCCCTTCCCTCGTCTAGTAAGGCTCACAGACACGGAGTTGGAATTTAATTGGTGGATGGTGACTAGCAGTGGAGTAATCCAGGATAAAGCGCATTTCGTCCTATTTGGGACTCGTCAGCTACATGTACCTGCATTCCACCGAGGCTCGAACCCACTGCCCATAGTTTCAAACGCCGAAGAGTTATCCACTAGACCACTTGAGCCACGAGAGCCACTGTCTCTTGTGCAACGGGGCATGTTAGTTATTTAATTAAATTTTAGATTTTCCCGTCCTTTTATTGATTGGATCGAAGTCGTGTTGAAAAAGAGTTAAGAGTGGTGAAACCAAACACCCAACATCAATTTATGAAATCTTTGACTGATAATTTGAGTCAGTCATATGGGAAGGTGCAGGATTGTTTCGTTGTTTATGTATCTACAATGCCAATGAACCACTGGCTAGCAACCTTTGGTGATATGTTTCATAATTATTCTAAAATGGAACAGATACATTTACTCTTTGTAACCAACCAGAGATATACTTAAATTTACACCCTTCTCTAGCTAATTAATCTTCCCTGTTGTAATTTTCGATCTATTACAGTTTCTTTAATTTCCTCTTTCTTTACTTTATATAACATAAATTTATCAAGTATAACAAGTTGAACAGCTGCAGTTTTTGTGCAACACATCGATTGAAAAGTCATCTTAAGTTCAGCTTTCTTTTATTAGTAGCAGTAGGTCAAAGTGAAATGAATTCACCATTTATAAAACAGTTTTTGCAGAATAAGATGATGGTACCCCGTCATTTTTCATTTCGTTGGCTTTCCATCTAAATAAATTATTACTAAGTTTATGTACAGAAACAATTTTAACATACTTACAAAGTTTACATGATGTCAGTTGACAGGAAGTTCTGGGCTTAGTGAACAGTGCTAAATAAATTACGCTTATATAGTTCCTACAAAGGCAGTTCAAGTTGAAATGAAGTAAATGCATGCATACTATGGAAGAGGAGTTACGTAATAAAGGCGAGAGATGCGTAAGATGGTGAGCAATTATTAAATTGGGTGATAAAGTACTGAGTTCACATCAAATCATAGAAACAAAAGACAAGCGAAATTCCACTATTTTGATGTGGTTGTGTTCTCTGAGCTGGATAGTTAATTTGAGAAGCTTTCATCGCCCTACTTACTAGGCGACATCTTCAGCGCATACTTCAATTTGAAGTGAGCTTTTAGATTTCTCCACGAGTTTATTAGTCGTCTCTCCTGGTCAGCTTGGACATGACTATTTGGTTGTTTTTGTGTATTTTCAATCCCTCTAGGCTACTTGTACTGCAACTGATTGTTTCTTTGACTTGAACGTTGACCCTTTGTGTATGAGATTTCCTTCTTCTTATCAGTTGGTAAATTTTGTCTATCTCAATGTGTCTATTGATTGATGATTTACTGGAATACCAGGTAGGCTTCTAATAGTTCTCTAGCATTTTTGGTGTTTCCTCTGTGTAATATTTGAACGCTGTCCCAGTCGAATTGATGTCCGTGGTTGTCTGTATGTAGTGATATGAGGAAGTGGATGTGATGTCTTTTGATGGCTAGTTTAGATCATGGATACGAAGACGGAGGGGACGTCCGCTTTGATCAATGTAGTGTTTTTTCGCAGTTTTTACAATTTATTTTGTAGATGATGTCGGTTTTATCTTCTTTCGTTGTTGAGTCTTTTGGTTGACATAGAACTGAATGAAGTGATTTTGTTGGTTTGTGTGAGACGTCAATTCGTAAATATCTCAAGAGTCTAACAGTGATTTCTGAAATGTCCTTTATATATGGTAGGGCGATTTTCTTTGTGCTCTCCTTGGGGGCCTTCGATTTGATAGGTTGGCTTTGGGGTATATGTCTTTTGATATCCATTCTTTTGGAAGACGTCCATGAGATATCTTTCTTCAATTTTCCTTAAGGTTGGGAGTGCTGCAATGAGTCCTGGCTAGTCCTCTTGAATAGTGTTTGTATATAATTCCTTTTGTGTGTTATTGGATTGTTGCTGTCGTAATTCAGTTCAAATATTAGACAGAGGAAACACCAAGACTGCTAGAGAACTTTTAGAAGCCTGGTATTCCAGTGAATCATCAGTCAATAGACACATCGAGATAGACAAAATTTACCAACTGATAAGAAGAAAATCTCACACACGAAGGGTCAAAGTTCAAGTCAAAGAAACAATCAGTTGCAGTACAAGTAGCCTAGAGGGATTGAAAATACACAAAAACAACCAAATAGTCATGTCCAAGCTGACCAGGAGAGACGACTAATAAACTCGTGGAGAAATCTAAAAGCTCACTTCAAATTGAAGTATGCGCTGAAGATGTCGCCTAGTAAGTAGGGCGATGAAAGCTTCTCAAATTAACTATCCAGCTCAGAGAACACAACCACATCAAAATCATCCACCTGAGCTACAAATCTTCTTTATCATATCTAAAATTACACTATTTCAAAGGAGGGTTGAGGTTAGTGCCCGCGATTACGTAATTAGATGAAAGAGAGAGACACTTAAGACATCCAGTTACCAGGATGGGGGCAAAGAGAGACTGATAACTGCTCCCTTTTGTGTGTTTTTTATGTGCGTCGTTGAATAATCTGAGTAGGTAAGAAGTATAACTTTCATTGTTGCACAGAAAGAAGCAGTTATCAGTCTTTCCTTACACTAGTAACTTGATGTGTTCATTCTCTCTTTCATCTAGTTATGTAATCGTTGGCACTAAACTCACCCCCCCCCTCTTTGACATAGTGTAATTTTGCTTGTCTCATGTTTCTATGGTTTGAGTTGAGCTCAGTACATTGTTACCCAATTCATTAATTACTCACCGTATTACGCACCTCTCGACTTTATTACGTAACTCTTCTTCCATTGTATGCATACATTTACTTTGTTTAAACCTGAACTCTTTTTGCAGAAGCTAAATAAGTGTAATTTTTTGAGTACTGTTCACTCATTTCGGAACCTCCTACTGACATCCTGTAGAATTTGTAAGTATGTTAAAACTTTTCTGTACATGGACTTAATAATACGAATTTATTTAGACTGTAAGCAGCAGCTGATGAGAAGCCAACGAAGTAAACAATGATGGTACCATCTTCTTATTCTGCACAAACCACCACTGTTGTTGTTCTTGCTTTATTCAAAAATTTAAAAGAAAAATTGAATGGTCATCTAACGTGGCACAATGTCAGTGACATTTATCAATAAGTACAGGTAGTATTCGTATTTTATTGTAATTACAACATTCAAGTCACACTTCTAGCCGAAAACATTTCACACTTCAACCAAAAAATGATGTCTGTCATACACCCTAGAGCATTGGTCAGTTGGTTGGTTATTTTACTCAACAACCACTCGAAATCCCATATAGTTGACAATAAGCCACACCTTTTGTGTAAAGGGTTGGTTATACTACCCCCGAGGCTGCCCGAACCTCGATGCGCATACCAGTTCACTTGCATTGGTCGTAACATGCATGCATGCAAAGCAATTGTAAAACGTTATCGCGAAAACACTAATCAACATCTAGGAGAATGTAGGCGTGTTTGTAAGTTCGATAACAGAACATCTTGTGAATTCATGACACTTCTCAGCTTTATTTGAAAATATCTCCCAAAGAAAGAAATTAGAAAAGAAAACAGACATGTTACAGGATTTCATCATGAGCTGAAACCGTTTAGAGAACCATTGGAAAACCTGAGAGTACTGGACAGCTGTTTCGTCAGTCTAGCTTGGTACTCTTCAGCGGCACGCACCCACAACATGGGTTCAAACCCAGGACCTTCAGGTTACAAGGCGAGCTAGCTCGTAGACAATTCAGCCAGCCATTGGGACCCAACCGATCGAATGGCTAGCCAGTGGATGATTTCTAATATCTGCCAATTCATGACTTAGCACCACCACTGCGTAATATTTTGTTCGATGAATTACTGCCTCACCTTCAACCTGCTGTACCCTACTGGTTCCAGTGGATTAATGGTCTACGAGCTAGCTCGCCCTGTAACCAGAAGGTCCTGGGTTCGAACCCCCCTAAGGTGGATGTTTGCTGTCTGGATTCAACATACAACTTGGCAACGAAGTGCAGCACTTCAAGTTGCCACGTTCCAAATAGCACACAAAGGTAGACAGGAAGATGAGTGAAGAGAATCAATAGAGTTTTGACAAGTATAAGACTGAAACAGAATGAGTAATGGTAGAAAGGAATATGAAAGATAACAGAGACTGAATACATCTGCGCCATTGACAAAGATTTTGAGCCATGTCGCCTATTGTCTCCAGCCATTGATTCTTAGAGTCCCGAGGGCAGGCTCCAACCCGGAAGTCTGCATCTCCCTACCTGACTCAGTTTAACTGTCAGGGATTTCATGGATTGATGAGGCCATGTTTTTGTTTGGCCACCGCTTACTCTTTTCCAACCTGCACCTATATCAGCTAGTAATGCCCGTCGGAGGAGGCGATGGTCAGACATGCGTAGCACGTGACCTAGCCATCTCAATCTATGTAACTTTATAGCCTCGTCGATAGATTTTCCCTCTTTGCCCAACACTCTACGCCTAACGTCAACATTACTTACCTTATTATGCCACCGAACGTGAGAAAGAGATCGTAGATATCTATAATCGAAAACAGTCAACCTTTTCATATCTTCAAATCGTATTGGCCATGTTTCAGAGCCATAGAGAAGGACGGAGCGAACTGATGAGCAGTACACACGTCCCTTGGTTGATAGCCGGATGTCACGCCTACGCCTGAGATGGTGTAAGTTAGAGAAAGCAGGCCGAGCTTTTTGGATCCGTTCTGAGATTTCGTCACCAATCAATCCGTTGGTGCTGATACAACTTCCCAAATAGGTGAAGTGGTCAACATGTTCTATCACTTCACTCCCCATCACTAAGCTAGGGGTAGACGTAGTCCAGTCCTGTAGCAGCATCTTACATTTTACAGGGGCGAATCGCATGCCAAACATACGAAGATTGCTGCTCAAGGTGTTCAGAAGACTCTGCATTTTGTCAGCATCCTCCCCTAACAGGACTATGTCATCCGCATATTCTAAGTCTTTAAGACTATTTCCTGGTAGCAAGTCGATTCCTAAGTCGTTAGAGGTGGATGCGTACTGCTGAAGAGTCTCAAACAAGACTGACGAGAAAGTTGGCTGTTCAGTACTCCAGTGGTGATTTTCCAATGGTCCTCTAGCTGATGTCAGCTGATGTTGAAATCCTCCAACCAATCAAACAAAGAATTTATATATATTATATACAAAAAACCTCTTGTATTGTAATCAAGAGAATTAACACTATTCGAATATGTTGTTAATATAAGAGTATACACAAATATACACAAATACTTACCTTAAAATGATCCAAAAGTGTTGCAGGAATAACATATGGTGCATCGATAATCACATTACTCACATACTATAAAAAAGACGACAAAAGACAAACAGACAAATGAAAAAGCAAACATTAGAAAAGCAAATAATTCATTTACTATTTTAATATATTTATATATGCATATTTGTGTGAAAAGAAGGTCTATGAAAAAAGTCTCTTAAGGGATAATTAAGGTTGAATGACGATAGCCTTTAAAAGGCTTAGAAGGATAGTTTACTCATTCCTAGACGTCTTAGTGGACCTGACTGAACTGGTAAAGATAGTACACTATAAGAGTAATATGTTGTCATGAAAGGAAATCCACATCGACTAGTCAGTATACTCCGGATACGAAACGGTTAGCTAGCTATATTTGATCAAAGGTGTCTGCGTTCTATCTCCCGTCTGACGTGATGTGGTATAATAAAGTGATCAATATTGAGGTGAGGCATTGGTCGAAGTGCTAGGTGAGCTGGAGGGAAAATAAATCGATAAGTTACACAGATTGAGAGAGAGAGATGGTTAGGAAATGTGTTACGTATGCGTGGCCTAGTCATTGATCATCTTCCTCGGCAACGGGCAATGTTAACTGACTGTCATAGCATCCATCACGTTGGAAAATAGTTAGTTAGTGGTGGTCGAACGAAAACATGGCTTCATCAGTCAATGAAATAAATCCACAACAGTTAGCTTAAGCCAGCCACGTAGGGAGGTGTAGACTGCCTGGTTGGCGTCCTCAGGAGGGTAAAAACCAATAGCGACGGCTGGAGACAATTAGTGATATGGCTGGCTCAAAATCGTTTTCTCCCAGCATTCTCCTGTAATCACGCGTGATACAAAATCACACAAGACGAATTACTAACTGAGAAATTGTAATTAACTGTCTCCATTCGATCTATGCAGGTATACTGAGAGTTTGTTTTGCAATACTTTATATCCTTTAATCCTTAGATTCCCATCCATCCTGATCCATGCAATTTTCTTTATTACTTCTTATTCGTTGTTTTAAGCGTCTTTTTATGTCCTCTGGTAGCGACACGTACTAATATGAAATTTCAAATAGTTTTCTCTCCGTTATTCTGTATTTCTCGAAAGAACTGAAGGTTGAATATGTAATATACACCTAATTTTTCCATAATACTACGTGTAATTTTAAATTACAGACATGTTTTTATTGCCTCTGAGTCCTATTGGTTGAAAACTGTTTTAACTTATCAAATGAAGGTTATTTAAATCAAGGTCATTTGAAGCCAATATATATGTGGAAATGGTATCAAGCTTCTTTTGCTGTAGATTCGAAACAGTAAAAAGTCTCTGTGTCACTCTCACCCTCTCTCTCTCTCTACTCTCTTCCCTTGGTTTGAGTGCTACAAGGCGGGAGGGGGTGGCAACTGGGACTGGTGCACATCTGTGCAAAGTAGTTCTACGTTGAAACCAGTCAGTCATACTCGTATTTCTCTGCTTCGTACCTTTAAAACTTAAAGGTGATTTAGTGGTGTTTTTCCTTCACAGACCTACAGAAAAATCTGCTCTAATATTTTTTATTTTTTGATTACAGCTTGATGCCACACCGTATTTTCAGTACAAGTATGGAATTTTCTGCATGGATATCGGTAGCCCAAATTTCGCAGGCCAACCATAGATATCTGGTGTGCTCGGCAGGGGATCGAACCTCGGACCATATGCATGGTCGGCGAGAGTCCTAACCACTGTGCCACCGACGCACATAACCGACATAATGAAGAACTCAAGAATATTAGACAATTACTGAGTGAAAGCAGATATCCAGAAAATTTTTTGGATCTTAAAACTATGAGTTTAAAGTTAAGGCAAGCTAAATAGGTCAATAGTACTAAGAAAGCCTTTCTTGATGATATAATATTAGTGAAATAATAACACACACCGCTTATAGAATGTTGTAAAAAGTGCATTCAATGTAGAACAAGATCAGTGTCTTTTAACAACCAATCTAATTTTACCTTCAGCCTATGAGTTCGTCTTGTAAGCCGAAGTTCCTAGGTCCGAACTTCAGTGGGCATGTACAGATGAGGATTCTCGAAAAAGGACGAAGCAGCTATCTGGTACTCTCCGGTTTTTCAACGGTCCTCTTACTGACGTTAACACGTGATCGAATCTGTACCCAACTAAATTCCTGCAAACCAACACTTTGAAAGCATTCTGATGCTCACTGGCGACAGGCTATAATACAGGAAGTAACCTGGAGTTCTAGTGAGAATTCGTAATCAGCGAGACTCATCAAGTCAGGCAAAATAACAGTTGCTTGCCCATAACACTTGTTGGTGGATGAGCTAAGTGTCGTGAATTAGTAGAAGTTGGAATTCAGGACTAGTCACTGGTTCGAGTCTCAGTGCCTCAATGGTCTAAAAGCATGCGTTATAACTGGGAGGTCCTTGGTTCAAATCCCAGTGTGCGTACTGTTGAAGAGCCCGAAGTTAGGACGAAACAGCTGTCCAGTATTCCGTGCAGCTTTTCCAACGGTTCTCTAACTGGTTTCAGATCATCGGCAAACCTTTTACCTTCCGAAGGTAAGGATAAGCTACCTGATTGACGACTGCAATCTTCTATGAGTGAATCAAGGCCACTTAGTTCTTGGACTGTCTCTGGGAAGCATTGATGTGTGATAATTGTGGACAGAGTTTTGACCCTACCTTTTTGGGGAATGTTCTATTTGATTCTAAGTGCTCGTGGTTGTACATAGACTGAACTGTATAGCTACGTAACAGCACTTTTGAGAACCACAAATAGATTCCAATCACAATGAATCACTTTTTTTTTACTGTCTTTGGAGCGTTTCCGTAACTCTGTGCTTGTGTGTGTGTGTCATATGGAAGTTTTGCCTGATATTCAATAGAACGCAGAGGTCAGTTTTGTGCTGTCAGACCATAACAAGTTGGCTTTGATCGCTTTACACCTTCCTTCTACTTCTTTAGCAAACTATCATTGTTTTAACTATCTTTCATTTTCGCATAAATACTCTTCTTATTTCTATTTGGTAACTGAGTTCGTCTGTTTGTTTAGCGTGTTATGTCACCAAATATTTGTTCTCTGTGCAAAATTGATTTTATGCATATGTTATAGAGAGTATACAGTTAATCTATTTACCATTTTATGTCAACAGAGATTTCTTCAAGAACTTTTATCACAATTGGAAAATCATTGCGAAAATCCCCACCCCACCCCCTCACCAAGGAGCACTAGATAACTGTTTGATGCCAATTTGGAACATTTTGGTCATTTGAGTATCCATGAGCCAGCCAATCAGAAATAAAATCCATGTGGGAATTAATCGAAATTTCGACAGAACTGAGATATACGAATATGCATTTATATCGGTCTCTAGCTAATTAGTGGCCACAAGATGGAGGATGGCACGATATTCTAATAAAAACTTGTGGTCCGTGGGTGGTGTCGAACATGTTAAGAGGAGAGAGGATGCTCGTCGATAGCACCAGTAGGCGGTAGAGGCACATCATGAATTGACCGAAGTTAGAATTCAAAGGAGAGCTCGCCTCGTAATCTGAAGATCCTAGGTTCAATACTCGATGATCTGCCGAGTATGGGATGCAGAAGAGAGTTTCGAAACCAGAATGAGACAGTTGTCCACTCCATTGCTCATTGATTTCAAGTGATTCGATTAATGATTTTATTAGTCCATGCCGTTGAAACTAATCAAAAATCTTTTTTTTTTAATTATTCCCTTGACTTACGAGTGGAGCACAGGGCTTCAGTAACACACCTCCATTTCACTCTGTCCACATCTGAGTCTTCTAAGCTGACCCCATAAGCTCTCATCTCTTCCTCCGTCTAACATGATCCTCTGAAGTGTCACACATGGAGTGTCACACCAAACTCGTCGTTTCACCATCGGGTTCAACTCGAGGAGTTGCGTTTCTCATTTGTGTCACTGTAGTGTATGCTACTGATAAGGTTTATCAGTAGTATATAACGAGACTTTCGGCAGCATAAAAAACATTAAATGACAGGGAGATGGATTTGATGTCAGTCAGAGAAAGCAAATAATTCCGCGTTACGGAGATAATATGGAAGACGTGAGAGGAACACAAAGAAACACAATATGAAGGTAGGGCAGGGATCTGTGAAAATGGTGCGTTGAAGAAGATAAGGTGTACATAATTTCGGTATATAAGAGCAATACCAGATTGCAAATAAACATTGCTTTATAAAGTTTCACGTCTTCCACCGTTATGTTAACACCAGATCGCTATTATTATTGCTGCGATAATGCAAATGTGAAATCCAATTCAGGACCTCATATTTCCCATCACCGATTGAATAAATACTCCATATACACTATGTTCATTATTAAACAGATTTCTACAGAGATGTGGTCAGTTTAAAAAAAATTAATTATCAAGTCTAGGAGTTGTGCTTTATTTCAGGTCAGCCCACGGATTGATATCAGTTGGAGAACCACTGAAATTCAAAGAGTATTGGACAGCCAGCTGTTTCGTCAGCCTAGTCCGGGACTCATCGGCAGTACGCACCCACCAACTGCCGGGGTTCGAACCTGGCGGGACCTTCCGGTTACAAGGCAAGCTTCTGGAACATTCAGCCTCTGGGACCCGATTCAATGGCCAGTGCATGAATTCTAACTTCTCTCTTTATGATATATGATTCTAATATGAATCAACTCAACGATTCATGAAAAAAAAGACTCTTTTCAGGCGGCGAATTCATTCACATAGCTGTACAATCGCATTTATATATAATTATTTGTGTGTGTGCGTGTACATGAGGTTTCTCAAGTTTAGATAATTGATTAGTTAATACAAGAATGATGTAGTATAGAGACAAAGTTAATCAGACAGCAACTAAAGTAAGATTGAGTTAGTAAGCTAGATGACGCAATATAATTGACTAAAATGTTCCAACTTAGATCAGAGCAGCAACAGAGGTAATTACAGGTAAAACTAAATAGAAGTGAAAGTGAGCAAATAAGTTGGATGACGTAACATAAATGACTAGATATTGAGCGTTGTTCAAGTCAGTAACAGTGGTAGTGAGGTGTAGAAATTGAATTGGGTGGGGGTAGAGAACAAGAATGTAAAATATTACAATTGAGAAGACAAAACAATACTAATGAAGAGACAGAAGAAAGGATTAGGTAGAATTTACATGTCGGCTAATAGGATAGATTACGTCCATTGCAAGTGTAGTGATTGAACGAACTTCTTCTGTATACAGAGTTCAGGACTTAGCAAGTGAATCGCCATTGCTTCTGCAGTTTGAAGAAGTCTGATTCGTACACCTTTAGGAAGACTACTTCTTACTCTGTAGACGACTTTGAAGTTTGTTTGGGGTGAAGCTTGGTGTCCGGATTCTATCAGATGTTCTAAGATGGAACTGCGGGGGCATCGATTTTCTCCTTTGTAAAACCATGTTGGTAAGTGCTCGGTGATACGTTTGGAAAGCGAGCGCTGGGTACGGTCGACATACCTGGCTCCACACGAGCAGGTGAATTGATAAATACACATTGATGAGGCCAGCAGCGGTAGCTTATCCTTCACGTTCACATGAATCATATGTTTTGTGGAGAAGGTTAGTTGTAGTTCAGCTGCGAAGAAGGTCTTCTCAAGTGAGCGCGACAGTCGATTTTTTAGTGTTATTTAAACTTGAAAAACCTCATGTACACACACACACAAATAATTATATATAAATGCGATTGTACAGCTATGTGAATGAATTCGCCGAAAAGAGTCTCTTCGCTGAACGTTTTCTCTTTTTCAACGATTTATGTCTAAAGTCAAGCAAATGCGAAGATTTACAGGAGGAAACGAACAATTTTTCAAAAAGCACAGGACTTCAAGTGATTAAGATAAAGAAGGCAACAGTGATGAAGACATCATCCAAACAACAATCTAGCAACAACAAGTACCAAACATGATGAAGAAGAAGGAGGAAACTACAGGAAGTCAATTAATTCATTGACTTATAAGTCTAGGAAATATCTTTCCAACTACAAACGACGCCATAGATGAGCATGTCAAAGACAGTCATGATTGAAAAGACAATTTGAAATCAGTGTGGAAATTCAATGCATTCCAGATAAGATAAGGGGGAACAGTATACAGGTCTTCAACACTATATGACTCACGGAGATAGAGTGTGTGAGTCACCTAAAGTATTTCGCATAGGGTACTACCGACTGTCATCAACAGCCAGCTTCGTTGGCTCCACATACTGAAGATCACTTAGCCTATCAGATAGGATTTTTTTTCCTTCACGTTCCCCCAGTGGAACATAGGGCTTCAAGCTAGAGGCGTGAAGTTTCTGTAGCAGAATTTATTTTTACAGGATGGGGTTGCTAGCCTTATGCCCAATCTTTCCTCTTTACCGGCTTTATTTTTGGCTTAGCGAGGTAAAGGAGTGCGTCCATGGCCGGGTATGGAACCCCGGACCATGTGCATGGTCGGCGAGCGTCTTAACCGCTATGCCACCGACGCACAATCAGATAGGATAAGCAACGAAAAATTTCGTCAACGAACCAAATCGAGAGTCTATCACTCAAGAAAAATATGCAGAAGGGAAGGAAGATGGATTAAACGAACGGTGTGAAGATATCACGCGTTATAACGATAAATGGAGTCTGAATAGACGACGACTTAGTTGGACGTTGGTATGAGGGTGAAATGGAGGAGATAGTGTGAGAAGACGATGAGGGGGTTGGCTTATGGTCAATCGTAGAGCCAACTAGAACAGACTGCAAAGAACGAGATGAAATGATGTGTGTTACTGAAACCATGTGGTGTTCCAGCCGGAAGCGATTGGGATAATAATAACAATAGTAATATACGTACAGATAAAAGGGAACCTCACGACTGTCATTTCTAAGGTTTAGTATGACAGTAATATTAGTGTATTCAATAATTATATATGATAGCTTCCGTCTACTGATATAAGAATAAAACTTCTGCAATGTGGTAGAGCATAATTCCATTGAGAGTAAAATTTATTTTGATAAAGTCTCACAATGTTACACGTCAATATTCACTGATGACCGCGTGCCGAGCACGCCAATTTATTACTGCAGCTCATGATCATATCAAAGTACACTCTCACACAACTTTCTAACTTCGTTTATATAATTCCATTATTTCAGTTCATCGCTTGATATGATTGGTAGTAGTATTTTGCATATTTGTGGTATGAGTGATGAGTCATTCCTATTGCACGTGTTGGTGTACACTTGATGAACAAAGACTCAGTAATCAACGTCTCTCTGCACTTATGTATGTTACCCAATCGTAGCAACTGCTGAGTTTTCTTCTAATTCCTAATCCTTGCGGAGTGAACCCTTCTTACCATAGCCCATTGAGAAAATCATGTTAGGAATTCAGTCATGTCTCACATGTTCTATCTTTAAATTCCAAGGCAAAATATATAGACAAAGAGAAGGTGTAGCAATGGCATGGATCACCAGTATCTCCTATCGTAGCAGATATCTTTATGGACAACTGGGAAAATACTGCTCTTAATGCATTCACTTAATCCTTCTCCGAAAATATGGTGGAGATATGTGAATGACACTTTCACTCACATTGGTGAAAACAGAACATATCTCTAGCTTCTCGACACATATAAGGTCACTAGTAGAGGGAATAAATTTCACTTTCGAATCGGAAAATGAACAAGGAGAATTACCTATGGCGTTAGATTGTAAAATAAAACGAACAGGAGAAGGTGAACTGCAAACTAGCGGCGTTTACAAAAAGACAATGCATTCAGCTAATAGATACTTAGACTTTAATTCATCTCATCCGTTATCTGTCTGTGAAGGCAGGCTTAGTTAAGTGTCTAAGAAACCGAGCAATAACACTAAGTAGTACAACAAAAAAGCTAAAAGATGAAATGAAACAGATAGAAGAATAGTTGGATGGTGTTTAAAAACTATCCTGTGAAATTCATAAGGAAGATTAGAAAAGGCCAAAAGCAAAATAAAAATAATTGTGAAACTAATAATGACAACATAAATAAGAGAGAATATAAGGCATTTATAGTAGTTTTACCATATAAGGAGGAAACATCTGAGACCCTGGCCGCGTAGGATTCTGCATAACGCAGGAATTAGAGTGATATTTAAACCTACAAACTCACTCAGGGATAAGCTCTGTATACTAAGGAACCCAGTTGACCCAATTAGACAAAATAATATAATTTACAAAATACCTTACAACGACTGTGAGGTCAACTAAATAGGTCAAACAAGTAGATCGGGGGTAGTCAGATCGCCTGTCAGAACATAATAATTTAGTGGCTAGGGTAGGAATGGTTGACTCCGCGAAGACAGATGAGTAATTTAGAAAAAAGATCAACGCTGCATTGCACTGCACTGCATGCATTAACACACAACCACACAACGGCATGGTGGGAGAGGGTTAAAATTTTAAAAAGTAATATAGGTAGGTGTGGAGAGAGAAGTTGATTACTGAGTCTTTGTTCATCAAGTGTACACCAACACGTGCAATAGGAATGACTCATCACTCATACCACAAATATGCAAAATACTACTACCAATCATATCAAGCGATGAACTGAAATAATGGAATTATATAAACGAAGTTAGAAAGTTGTGTGAGAGTGTACTTTGATATGATCATGAGCTGCAGTAATAAATTGGCGTGCTCGGCACGCGGTCATCAGTGAATATTGACGTGTAACATTGTGAGACTTTATCAAAATAAATTTTATCCACAATGGAAAGCTTCCATCCACATCAAATCAATCAAGCATTATCAATTTAATATTATAGATAGAAGTTTGTTTACGTATGTCACATTGTTGATACATTCATAAAGGCAAAAAATCACTTACACGACAAGCTAATACAGACAATAAGCGTTCTTGAAGTGTAAGAATTGATCCCATTCGACCACTTTCAAACGATGATGTCTACAAGGGAAGAGAAGACAATAAGTCATTAATTAATTAACCGTAGAATTCAATAAATTACATTCAATTTTTAAAAAAATATTCCATATTAAAAACCTTTGCACTGATTTTTAGAAAAAAACAAATTGAGCAGAGAATTTCCTTTTCGATAATATCCTCTTCTGGCTCTACAATGATATATATATGTTTATTCAACAGCTGTACGACAACAGCACATGTCAAGTGATCCACAACGGAAAACTCAGTAAGGCATTTCGAGTAAACACAGGAGTCAGACAAGGGTGCTTATTATCACCAATGATATTCCTAATTGTGGTGGACTGGATTATGCGTCAGACAGTGCATGGAAACGAGAACACAGGGATATCCTGGACCGACGTGAAGAACCTAGAAGACCTGGATTTTGCACTTGGATGATTTATGTTTGATGTCACACAAAATCGAAGACTTACAAGTGAAAACCGACAAACTGGTCGAAGAAGCAGCAAAGACAGGACTCTAGGTGAACATAGACAAGACGGAGGTTATGAAAATAACCAACAACAACAACAACAGCAACAACATCCACCGCCAATCACCATCAACGGGAGGGATTTGAAAGAGGTTACTTCATTCACATATCTAGGGAGCATTGTCTCAACTACGGCAGGAACGGACGAGGATGTCAAATCGAGAATCGGAAAGGCGAGAAACACATTCATCAACCTGAAACCAATCTGGAAATCTTCGTCACTCAGCCTGCATCAACAACAAAATGATTCGGATTTTCAATACAAACGTCAAGATCAGAAACTTGGCGGGTCACAAAGAATATTTCCAACAGCCTGTTGCAGACCTTTGTCAACAACTGTCTTCGCTGGCTCTATACTGAAGATCAGATAGCTGGAAAGAAGAACAACCAACAAGAAACTATGGGAACAAACAAAACAAGAACCAATCGCCGCCCAACAAATATGCAGGAGAAAGTGGAGATGGATTGGACACTCACTGAGGAGACCGCTGGGTGACATCGCGCATCAGGCCAACGCTCGAGTGGAACTCGAAAGGGAAGCGGCGAGTGAGACCTCCAAGGGTGACATGGAGGAGATCGTGTGAAGAGGAGTTAAAACAGTATGGACTAACATGGATGCGGGTGAAGAGTATAGCAGAAGACAGAAGCAAGTGGAGATGTGCAGTTGAAGCCCTATGTTCCACTAGGAACCCAAGGGAACAATAATAATTACACAGTCGCTAATGTTTTCCCCTGATTTAATTTTATATTCACATTCTTATTGAAAAATATTATCAATGTAAATGCTCTATTTTAATTATTGCCCGTGTAATTATATAATTAGATGTAATATTGTATTACATTGCTGAAAATTCCATATATTTGTATCAAGAGTAGTACTGTTTGAAATAAAGTTATTATTATTATTACTACGTTAGCCTTGAAATGCCCTTCTCTATTATTAATTAGGTACTACATAAATAAATGGCCAAAAGCCACTTACTACCGAATACTGAAAACGGAAGAGCCTATAGCAGTTAGCTTAAAGTAGCAAGCAGAACTGTGCCACCAGAAGACCAACGTAAGATTCTTGATACGGTTGGAATTAAAGCGGCATTCAGACCAACCAACCAACCAACCAACTCACTCACTCAGGGAAAAACTATATCAGCCTACCGACCCAACAGATCCATTAAGTGGAAGTAATGTAATTTACCAAATACCTCGTAGTGAATATGAGGTCAATTACACATAGGTCAAACTAGTAGATCAGGGTCAAATAGACTATCAGAACGTAAACATAATTGACCCTGCTAAGTAAGTTAAATAACCTAGAAAAAAACAGACCTCAGTAATTGCATTGCATTGTATTCACTTGCACGTAATTACACAAGAGGGTGCAGTAACGTAAAAGTATTAAAAAGTAATACAGTTAGGTGGAAAGGGAGGTTAATCACTGCAGTTTTGTCCATCGAATCAACATTAAACACTTGCAATCACAAAATGGCTCAATGCCTATACCGCGTTCTATCTCCCGCGTGAAGTGGTATGATAAGGTGAGCAATATTGAGTTTAGGCATCAGTCGAGTGCTAGGTAAGGAGGGGAAATCAATCAACGAGGCTGTGAAATTACATCGACTGAGATGGTTAGGACATATGTTACGTATGCCTAGTCATCGCCTTCCTCGACAACGGGCAATGTTGGTTGACATAGGGTCAGGCTGGAAAGAGCTAGAGGCGGTCAAACGAAAACATGTCACCAGTCAATAAAATCCACAACATTTAGTTTAAGCCACGTAGGGAGGTGTAGACTTCCTGGTTGGAGTCCTCGGGACGGTAAAAACCAATGGTTGGAAACAATTGGTGAAATGGCTCCAAATCGTTCTGAATGGCTGGCGCAGATGCATCCACTCCTTGTGACTTATGATTTCCAATTTAAACTGTTTTGTTCCTCGTTATTACTATTCTTTTGTCTCACACCTCTGTTTATTGTCTATATTATGCATATCTCCTACTTTCTTCTCTTGCTTTGTGTGCTACATGGAGGGAGTGTGGCGACTTGAACTGGCGCACATATGTACGAAGTTCTATGTCGAAAACCGACCGAACCTATACCGGATATATGGAAAATTCAAAATAGACAACAAGAGGGATGTTGTTGAAGTGTGAATGGGACAGATTATCCATTAGTGCACTAAAGTTAGCATTCGCTCATAGTTCACTAGGTCGTAGTTCAGGTCATAAACGCGTTACATGCGAAAATACTGTATTGCACATTGATACGAAACATTTAAGTGTATGTCACAAAAAATAGCAATCATCAGAAAACGATAATTCTCTTTTTTTTAAAAATTATGCATATATAAGTGTCTGACTACTAGAGGGGCATCCACAGTAACAGTAACACCCACATAATGACTGTGAGTAAAAAATATACAAATAAAAGACAAGGCATAAATCCGATCTAAACAAACTGGTTGGCTCTCACGAGGTGTGCGACATTGATGGCAATGAAATAGAAACCAAGTCGGAAATCAAATACCTAGGCGTCATTCTATCTGCTGATCTTTCCTGGTCGTCTTATATCTTGACGATTTCTAAGAAAATATTCCGTCTTACCTTCTACATCAAGAAGTTAAAACATTCTGGTATAACCCAACCCTTACTCCTACAATTCGTTAACTCTCGCATTCTGCCTATTATTCTCTATTGTTCCCCCTTAGTTTTTCCCGGGCTACTGAAGAAAGACTATAACATATTACGCAGGATGTTAAAGGTTGTTAGCAGGGTAAGCAATGTGTCACTTAACCAGCTTGTTAATATTCTGGTTGACAGGCACATGGACTCATGTGAAAAATGGGCCAAATCCATTTTATCCAACTCACACCACCCTCTTCATTCACAACTCTCCCCTTGCATCTCATCAGGCAAAACCAACCAGAAGCCAATATAGAAAACTATATGCTCGCACCAGCAAGTACAAAAACTCAACCATACCCTACTTAGCTCGTGTTCTGTGCGATAAAGAAAGCATTAGGCGTGATAGTTAAAACTTATTAAATAGTCAGTAGACTAACTGGACCTCGTCTTTCCAACTCATATCATTTATAGGTGCAACATTTTCTTTCTTTCTTTTCCTATTCTCTCTCTCTATTTTTTCCGTTATGTGCTGCTTTGTTTCTTTCTCTCGTTTACGCCAGTTAATAAGACAGCTCCCACTTTTCTAACACCTTCAAACACCCTGTTCAATTTTGGCTTTGCTACCGACATGCCAATATGTTGTTGTCATAATGAACTGAGATTTCCTTAATCTATGTAGAATTCTATTTATTGATAATGTACTAACTGGTTGCAATACTGTAGTAAAAATGCTGAGAATTCCATTCTGTATCACAAGTACTGTTTTGGAATAAAGCAAATTATTATTATTATTATTATTAAGCAACATCAACAAAAATAATAATAATATTACATAATGGAATCTGACAACTGCTCACCTTATCCGAATGTAACCCAATCAGTAGATAATTGCCAAGTTTCAAACATTGTTCAAGGAAGGATAAATGACCGATATCTATTATAACGAGGTGAGTGTGTGTGTGCGTGAATGGATTTGTGTTTTATTGTTTGGTTTGTGCGATCATTAGATGTTACACAGATAGAGTTGTATATATATAAAGGTATACTGTCAAGGAAAACAAAACAGAATACTAAGAATATTTAAAATTATCACTCCTTCTTTGCATGGAGGATTTTATCATGAGCTGACATCAGTTAGAGAACCACTGGAAAAACTGGGAGTACAGGGCAGTTGTTTCATCCTGGTTTGGGGCTCTTCGTCAGTACGCACCCACTGGGATTCGAACGCAGGGCCTTCTAGTTACAAGGCGAGCTAGCTCGTAGACCGTTGAGCCACTGGGAACTGATCCAATGGTCCTTGAATTCCAAATTCTGTCAATTCACGACGTAGCACGACCACTTCGCAATGTCTTCTTCGATGAGTTACTGCCTCATCTTCAACCTGCTGTACCCTACTGGTCACGGCTTACCACTAGAACCCCAGGTTAACTGCCTGAATAGGGCCAGTCACTAGTGAGCATCAGAGCACTCCTTCTTTGTATAGTCGGGGTGACGGAACGCGACAGAGAGGGAAGGAGGGAGCGAGGGAGTAGGCAATTATATTCCATGGAAAAACTCAACATTACGAAGAGAGAAGCCGCGGAAACCCGAAAAGTACTACCACTAGATAGCTGTTTAGATGTGTGTACACTAGATGGGACCTAGCTTGAACCCAGTTTAGACCTGGGAAAACTACAGGAAAATTGAGCTAACAATCAGAAGCTCGACCAAGAATATTTGTCGATATATATAACTGACGGTATGATGTTTTTCTCCTCATTCCATTTGCGTACCAAGTGGAACTTACGGTTTCGAACTTGAAGCTCTGAAGGCTCAGTAGCGCTTGTGTTATTTTTATAGGAATGTGCTGGCTAGCCTCATGCCTAACCTTCTCTCTTCTCCAGGCTTACAACCTGCTAAGTGAGCTTTAGGAATCCGTCAGTCAGGAATCCAACCTTGATCACGCGTGTGTTTGACTTCTGTGTATTCTCGACACCTGAACACCACCAACGCACATGATATAATGTAACAACTATTTACAGTGAGTGATTAATGATTTAGTGATTGATTCGATGTCAAAGTGTTTTATTCTCCGAACGAGTGACTAATTTTAGAGTGATTCTAATGAAGAAATTGTCAATATTTTATCTCAAAATCACTCACATACTCACTTCAGTTAATGAGCCATAGAAATCCAAAGAGCAATGATTGAACGGCAGTTTCGTCCTTGTTGAGGACTCTTCAACAGCACCTATCAACAACTCCATTTATTAGACACTGGAAATCAGGGCGTTAAGGTTACGACAAGGTGGTTTTCATTGACCATTCTTCAGTTACTGAGACAGAATCCATCGTTAAAACCACATACTGCAAGGATGAGGATGAGTAAGCCAACCAAGATAAAAGGCAAGGCAGAAAGATGTTCACTAATCTAAAATCAATGCAAAAATTTCCAGCACTAAGCATGAAGAACGAGATTTGAATTTTCAAAACAACAGTCTGAAGTTCATGCTTTTTTATGGTTCAGACACACATGACGTGTGCACCACAGAAAGCAATTCCCACAGGCTTTTATCAACAGCTGCTTTCACTGCTTGTTGAATATCAGATGGCACTCTGAAAAGGATTAGCAACGAAGAGCTCCAACAATAAAGCTGCCAAGAACTTGTTACCCGACAAATATGCCACAAAAAAGCAGAGATGGATCGAATACGTGCTGAGGAGGCCATCGAGTGACACCACGCCAGAGGCAAGCCCTCGAGTGGAACCAGCATGAGAATGGAATGGATTGGTGTCCAAAGGAGACATGGGGGAGATGAGAGCCTGTGGACAATCATGAAGCCAGGTAAAGAGAACTTCAGAAAACAGGATGAAATGAAGATGTTCTGTTGAAACCCAATGTTATATTCAGAATCCAAGAGAGTAATACTAGTAAAAATAATATAGATAACCACTTAATTTTCCTTAGACCTTTTCTTCCGCTTCATAAAAATGAACTTTCTATCAAAATCAATTTTGAATTTTCCCCTAATTGATTACATTGGACGGAAATACTCAGTTCCCTTCTCTATCTTTTTACCTGTAGTTCGAAAATCTCAGCTATGCCTTGATATTAACAAGGAAAGTGTTATTTAATTGAAGATGACTAACAGTCGAATCCTTGATGAGTTCCCTGTCTCACTTGGAAGTCATTAGTAGACTGAATGTGTCAGTGTGTATATCAATTAGTGAATGGGGTTCATATTGAGAGTCAAATCCTACACCCATCGTTCCAAACAGTTCAAAAGCCATTGTGGGTAACGCCATGATATTTGAGGGAAAAAACGAGCACTGGGTTCTAGTATCAGTTGGAACACCATCGCTCACTGGGATACAGTTATACCCGGATAATAGGACCTACACAGAAGGAATGTGTTTCCGTGATTCCACTGCTAGCTATAACCAACCAAATAACACCGTATACGGATATATATTTTTAGTGATAAAGAAAGATGCCTACCGATTTGAAGAAAGGCTGACTATCTTGTCAAGCTATCAAAGAAAGGCGACTTATGTCTCACTCTGCAAAAACTGACGGGCGTGGAATAATGCTCTTGTCCACACCAAGTAAAATAATAAGTCACGTCATCCTGGAGAGAATAAAAGATGCACTGAATGTGAACTCCACCAGCTCGCTGGAACGAGCTGCATTCAGGAAAGGCAGATCATGTGCTGATCAAATTGTAACTCTACACACCGTCATCACAGAACAAAGCATAGAATGCCAGTCAGACCTCTCTCTACCTCAACAACTTCATCGATCTCGGAAAGGCTTTTGACAGACAGTGTTGACCGAGATGTTATTTGGAAACTACTTCAACATTACGGTATGCAGTGCCCAAGTCTTCATCAACCTCAGTCAACAGCAGACTATATGGCAATGGCTGCACGTATCAGTGAGGTGATCCACAATGGAAAACTCAGTGTGGAGCATGAAGATTTCAAAGCAGGCCAGAATCGGAAAGCCAAGATACATCTTCATCAACCTGAAACCAGTTTGCAAATCTTCTCCACTCACTCACTCAGCCAGCGACCTAGTCAGAGTGAAGAACAAGATTCGGATTCTATTCAACACAAATGTCGATGAAATCAGTCACCTCTTCTGCTATACGGGGTAGAAACTTGCAGTGCGTATGAGTCACGAAAAGGATTTCCAACATACTAGTGCAGACTTTCATTAACAACTGCCCCCTTTACTGTCTCTACAGTGAAGGGGCAGTTGACCAGGCGATCGGCCAGATGACTGGTCAGAAAGAATTAGCAACAAGAAACTCTGGCAATGAAAAAACCAACAAAGCGAGAGCCGATTGCTCAACAAATATGTAGAAGAAAATGGAGGTGGATTGGGCATACGCCATTGAGGAGGCCGTCGGTCGAATGACATCGCACTCAATACAGGCCATTGCTGGAGTGGAATCCCAATGAGAAACGAACGACAAGTGGGTGACATTGGGGAGATGGTGTGTTGGCGAGGAGGAGGAGATGAGATATTATGGATTGTAATCGCTGACCTGTCTAGGAGGAGAGGACAGCAGAAAGCAGAATAGAATAAAGTGTAGATGTGTTGTTGAAGCTCTGTGTTCCACTCGGAACCCAAAGGAATAATAATAATAATAATGATAATAGTCGTAAGGTTATTGGAGTATCAATACAATAATGTAATTGTAAAGCAAATGTGAAATTTTTACGCACTAGATTATTTATTTTATTTATTTTTATTTTGATTTACAGCTTGATTCCACACCGTATTTTCAGTACAAGTATGGAATTTTCAGCATGGATATCGGTAGCCCATATTCAGGCCGACCATAGATATCGGGTGTGCGCCGGCAGGGGATCGAACCCCGGACCATGTGCATGGTCGGCGAGAGTCCTAACCACTGTGCCACCGACGCACGAAAGTAGCCTGTTGTTAAATGTCTCAGTTATATAACTTGATCGTTTATATGATAAATATCGTACATTGAGATAAACAGATCAAAATTATTCGCTATCAGTTCACTGTTCCATTCAATAAAATCCAATTTAATCATTCACATAAACATAATTTTGTATATATAACTTGAAAAAGGTGAATGTGTTGCAATAATGTATACTGCCTATCCATAAAAATTTATTATTATTATTGTTTCCTTTAATTCCTAGAAGAACATAGGGCTTCAGCCATGCGTCTCCATTGATTTCGGTTCTCTGCTACAGTCTTCACCTGGCTTCAAGTCTGCCCACACATTTTCATCTCCTCTTCACATGACCTACTCCAAGTCACCCCACCCTTGCACTGACGACCAACTCGCCACTTCCCTTTCGGGTTCCACTCGAGCAATGGCTTGTCTAGTGATTTCCTCAGAGTATGGTCAATCCACCTCCATTTTTTCCTCTCTATTTGTTGCACGATCGGTTCCTGCTGTGTTGGTTCGCTCATTGCCAGAGATCTCTGTTGCTGATCTTTTCTGACCGGCCATCTGATCTTGAGTATTGAGCAAAGAAAATTGTTAATGAAGGTCTGTAGTTTGTTTGAGATGCTCTTTATGATGCTCAGTGCAAGTCTCTGATCCGTACGGTAAGTAGCACTGACTTCGCATTGGAGTTGAAAATCCGGATCTTATTTTCATTTATATGCTGAGTGCTGTTGACCTCCACACAGACTTGACGTGAGTAGTGAAAGCTTGCATTGCTTTCCCGATCCTCGCCGCTTTGATATCCTCGTCAGTCCCATCAGCCTGTAGTTGAAACGATGCTTCCCAGGTAGGTGGGTGAAGGAGGTTGTTTCGTTCAGGTTCCTCCCATTTATGCTGATTGTTGTCTGTTGTTGTTGTTGCTGTTGCTGTTGTCCAGGAATCTTCATCACCACATCTGTTCTCTCTATGTTCACCTGAAGTCCTATCTTCTCTGGATGCTTCTTCTGTCAACTTGTTACTTTTCGCTTGCATGTCTTCCAGTTCGTGGGAAATCGGACATATGTCATCATCGGTGAAGTCCAGATCCTCCAAGGTTTTTGTGTGAGTCCATTTTATGCCTGTTTCCTCATTGCCCACTGTTTGTTGCATTATCTAGTCTACTACAATCAGGAAAATTACTATTATCATTAAAACACGAACTTGGTGTA